CACACACACACACACACACACACACACACACACACACACACCCAGTTCCCCTTATAAAACACCCATCCTCCTGCATGTGACCTGAAACGGGCCCGGGGCCGAATTCGGGATAATTTCTCGCTCGCATCCTACACCGTCGATTGCGGCGCCTTTTTGAGGTGAGAGAAAGTGACAGCACCGACTCTCCGGGGCAGAGCTTCCCAGTTGAGTGGATCGGCGGACTGAAAATCGCTTATGAATAGTCATTAGGCCTTCATTACAAAGCCCCTCACTACCCACTTCTTCCTGTGCAACCAAATGCCTCTTGTCATCCTCACAAGGTGTATCATTTAATTGCCAATTGATTTCCCTCCACCCCCCCACCCCCCCCTCGCATATGACAACATGTCACAGAGCAAAATGCAGCCTCGGCCAGCCCTAGGCGGCCACATCTTCTTGGCATCCTGAACCGCCTCCGAATATTCTTCAAAAAGAGACAGGATGCTTCAACCCCGACGACAGCTTAAGCGCCTCACACAATAATTAAAACTCTACGCATGCAAAGACAGAAAAAGGAGAAGGGGAAAAGAGGAAACATTCTTTGTGCGAAGACTGGCAATTGTTTCTTTGTGACCCATTTTTCTGATTCAGAGACCACAAAGCTCTCGGAGCGTATGCTCCTTTGAATGCACGGGGTTGACTCCTCGCCGCGGCTTCTTTCCCTCCTTCTTTAAAGACCACATACTCGTCGCCGAAATGCTTATTTGCTGCCTCGCAGTCGCTTGTCAGTGCCATTAGCAGAAGTGACACACCTATTTTGTCTCAAAGGAAATGTAGGACAATCGCCTGTGATCGCAAAAATCTCTCCACGTTTCACCGAGGGCTCGACAGACGTCCACTCGAATCTCCCTCTGATAAAAAAAAAACAGTTTCCCGTCCCGGTCGCCTCTCCAGCCTCGCAGAAGCAGAAGCTCTGCAGCATTTTAAACTCAGAAAGAGAAAAAAAACACACAACAAACAAAGGAAACAAGTGGAGGGGCGGCTGATTGCGCCCTGTCCGCCGACTGCTGTAATGACATCCAAATCGGCAGGTTTATCTGTCAGGTGCACTTGGGGCGGGGGGGGGGGGGGGGGGGGGGGGGGGGGGGAGCGCGTGCATTGTGGGGCGGGCAGTATCGCGCGTCGCCCATGTTTTTTACAGAGCAATTTCATCCCGCCTTGCGACGCGTGGAGGATTGAGCTGGGAGCCTCCGTCGTGCCTTCAAATGTGGCAAATCAGCACAGTCGCCCCCTTTGACACGAAAATGCGGCGCGATTATCGAGTTGGTGCAGCCTTAATAAGCTGAATAATGAGGGAATTTCAGAAATGCCCGAGCGCCATTATACCCCCAACAATAAGAGCTAGGAGTGAGTAAACCGGTGCGGGGCAGAAGGTAGGCGTCAGCGATATAATGAGGCTACTGTGTAAGTAATGTAGTCTCTATTGTATACCCATGTAAATGCCCATTTCTTCACATGCACGGCGACGACGGCATAAAGCCAGTGAGAGATTTCTGGAAGAATGGCACACACTGTGGCGCTCTTCTTTTTTTTTTTTTTTCTTTTTCCCCCCCTCTCTCTATCTCCCTCTTTTTCTCTTTTTCCGCGGCTGTCGGTGACAGTCGGTGACAGTGGCTGGCAGCCGCCCGGCTTCTTGAAGGCAAACATTACAGCGAAAGATGAGCTGCAGGTGTGCCAGACTTGTAAACACGCGCTAATTACACATTTTTCCAGCGGATGACAATGAGGTCACTGAAATAATTGCTGTTTTTTTTCTAGTGAGCAGCCGTTGGCTGCCGTTTTATCCAAAACGATGCATTCAAACTCACTACGGGTGGTAAAGGACAAAACTCTTTTACCTGTGGCAACCAAAAGTGTCTTCGTGTTTTTTTAGTTCAACCCAGTCAGAGATTGAGTTCCCAAGCTGATTTAAAATAGCTAATTTTAAAAGATAAATGTAACTAAAAAAAAAAAAAGCCTTTTTCTGAGTGGCCTTTAACCTGCTTTCAAACCCTGGACACAAAGCCAGGGCTCTGCTGTTTAAATGCACAAACGAGGTAAGAGGGCAAACTATTTCCGCATGATCATGATCTCCATTAATTATATTGGCAGGTCATTCAATACCGTTTGTCCTCATTTTTTGAAATATGAGTCACACGCGTAGTAAATTATGTCAGGTACCTCACAAATCATCCCTTCGTCTGCTGGAAGATGGCGGGGGAGGTCTGTTTCAGGAAAACAATCTCTCCCCCTGCATTGTCAGACAGGAGGTGTTTGGTGGTGGTGGTGGTGGTGGAGGGGGGGGGGGGGGG